ACACACACACACACACACACACACACACACACACACACACACACATATCTACTTGCTTATCACACGCCTATGTTGAACTTTGAATGAGTTGATTTTTTTTCCTTCTCCGACAACGTCAACTCATGCGTAGTCGACTGTATAAGCAAATATCCTGAAATTTGCAATGACCCTACTGCCTCTCCTTCACCTTCCCCTTCTATGGATGAATTTGTTAGCTCAGTTGGTATCACGTTGAACAACGGAGCAGATGGTCCAGGTTCAAATGTCCAACAAGATTTTCTGATCCTGGGTTGTTCTGGAGAGTTTAAAAGACTCTCAGTCCATTTCACTCGGCCCTATGGACGATACATTCGAAGGTCCTACTTCTTAGCTTTAAAAAGGTTTTAATAAGCGTTTTACGGCACTTGCAACAAAATAAGGTCATGTAAGTGCCAAAGACTAGGGGTGTTAGAAGAGAGTAACAAATTTAAAAAAAAAAGGCGGAGTGATAAGGACGATTGATGTTTGATAGAAAAGAAGGAGCAAACCACATCAGAGCTCCCACCAACCACTCGCTTCTAATGCCCAGATGGGTTGTTCTGGTAGTTTTAAAGACTCTCAGTCCATTTGGCTAGGTCGTATCGACGATCTGAGAGTCCTACCTCTGAAATAACCTTAGAAAGAAGATGACAATGACAGTTTTTATTCATCTCTTTGGGAGAAATCTGTATTGGTCGTTTACAATGACAGTGTGTGTAATACGGGTTCCCAATCGCCCGACTCGATCGCCTCAAAAACAAACGCGTTTGTTTTCAGTTTCAGGCGATCGAGTCGGGCGATCGGCCCGATCCAGCCGTAATGGGCACCCCGTATAACACGTTTGTTTTTTAGATGACCGAACGATCGGCCGATCCCATCCGCCGTGTGCACCCCTTATTACAAAGGTTACATGCATAATATCATGACAAGACAGGACATTAACAAATACGACACGTTTTACATGCTGAAACACCCCCGTTCTGTAAACACCACAGTGTTGAACGGGACGTTCTGTCTATACAGCGACCAGTGACAAAGTGCTACCTCAGAATTGCAAAGTTCCATCTGACATTTTTGGCCGTTTTAAGTTGCTAAGACCATGAGATCAGAAACCAAATGCTATATCTGTTTTATTAAAATCGTTAGATTATTCGGCGTCAATATCAAGGTATTCCAATAATTGCATTTTAAAAAAGCTTGACAGTTAATGAAACTCAAAATTTTTCATGTCAAATTTTTCAAAAGTAGATAGGCCTACTGAGCAGAGAGAACTTTGTAATTCTAAGGTAGCGAAAGATTGTCCTCCATCATTCACCTTAGGTCCACCCTCGGTCACCATGCCACTAGCCGCCATGTAAGTTGCTCCAACAGTCTTGATTTTGACAATGCTGGAGAATCTGCTCTGGTTTAGCAGCTCGTCGTAGTCCGAGATGATCTCGTTCAGAAATCTGCGAGTGGGGAAGAGGTGGGAACAAGTGGGAAAATGTATTTTAGTTGTAGCAACAGTTTTGTATACGGCGCCGGCAACACAAATCATAATAGTTTTTTTTTCTTTGTTTGTGTGTTTTTGTTAGTGTTTTACGGCGCTCGCAACTGCATAAGGTCATGATATCAGGACGCGGGACACATAAAACATTTTCAGTAGACAGGAAATTTTGAATTTTGCCTGGGAGGCGGCCGAAGCCTACTCTTTTCAATTTTGGACCACCAAGGGATTTTTAACGTGCGCAACTTGCACACAAGACCTCCTAGATTTTTTCCCCCTTGTCCGAAAAGGCTAGGTGTAGATTTTTCCTACCATAAGATCAGGGGTGTGGCTGAAAGACAGCTGTAAGAAGGAGCCGAGGAATAACAGTAGACAGGCTGCAGAAAGAGCCAGGAGCCCAGAGGAGGGGGCAAATTAAAGGAGGTGACGAGGTGGGGTGCAGAAAGTGGAGCCGAAAGCAGACAATAGAACATTGCTAGAGAAGATAGGAAGTGAAAGGAGAAAATGTTTAGAGAAGAAAATGTTCCGTCACTATCTGGACCTATTGAGTGAGAAGCAAACACGTTAACCTCTAGGCTATGAGAGCCCCCAGACTCATATGAGTATAAGTGGCGATGATTACAGTTGTCGCAGAAAGGTAATAAACAGAAAAAGAAGGATGGGAGATAAGGAAGACTGATGTTTGACAGAAAAAAGGGGAAAGGTATTGGAAAACCAATTTGATTATACCTTTCCAAAAGAAAAACAGTCTTGGTAAAAAAATGCGAACAAATGATAAAAGTGTTCCCTTTCTCTCTTTCTCTCTCTTTCTCTGTCTGTCTGTCTGTCTGTCTGTCTGTCTGTCTGTCTGTCTGTCTGTCTGTCT